AGAGTCAGTACCTTCTATTTCCGAGATGACCCAGATTTTCATTTGCTTTTTAGGAAACTGATCATTTTGTCTCTCCCTGGAAACCTGGAAGCCAGGTTTTTTTTAACAAACTCGGTCAGTGGCTTGCCGTAAATTCCGTTATACGTTTATGGAGTAACCCAGAGGTTTGGCTGTGGTGAACAACAGCTCAGCTGCGCTGGAAATGTATTCCACGTTTACAAATTGACTCCTGTTGTCTGCAATTGGTTTCCAATACCTTAAACCTTATTTACCTCTGTGCGATTGGTACGTGTATATTCTTACTTTCAAATATGCTCCAAAATCTTCAAAAATTATAAGAATGTTCGACTTTAGCGAAAACAAAACATTGCTTTTTGTTCATTTCGTTCATCCTCTTGTTATGTACCCGATTGAACTTCAATCCACAACGAATTCAAACCTTCCCATGCACGCATGCAACTGCAGAGTAGACTCGAAGGAGGCAAATCCACACAAAACCAGAGAGAAGATATGCACAGCGGAAGCTCAAAATACACAGAGAATTGAAAAACGAATTTCAATTTCAATTCTGCAGTCCCTCGTCCTCCTCCAACCAATCCAGAGTACTTGTTCCAAGAATCACAACCGCGTTTACAACAACCCCGAACAACCAAAAACAAGTGTTCAACGAAGTATGCAGGAGTCTTCTTCTTCCTCCTCACCACCTCATACCCCTGGGTATGTGTTGCATACTGTAAAGGTGCAGACCAGAACAAGAACCGACCTCTCATACAAAGTACAAGATAGCGTAGCGGAAGACTTAGATACCAATGATCCGAACAATCAATATTGCAATGCAGCCCTGAACATACATCATCATCATCATCATCATTCCATGGTGTGAAGGGGTCTGGCGCTCACACATGAAGAATGTGCCAGCCCCAACCATACACAGACGGAGAAGAGGGGGGTTAGACGAAGAAGAGGGGAAGATGGGAATGTCGTCAACACCAAGTCTTCCGCACAGGCCCAAATAGTCCCTCGTCAAAATGTCTGAATCCCAATGTCGAGTCTGGATCCAATGTCGTCAAGTCTCAAGTCACAACTCTCTCTCTCTCTGTCGTAGTCTGCTGATACCGAGAAGTCAGGTGGTGAGAGGGTGAAGAAGAGATGGTGGACTTAGAAGAGGAAGAAGAAGAACTCTCTCTCTCTCTCTCAGTCCGGTACTAACCTGTGAAGTTGGCGCCTTGATGCAGGTACCTCGAAGATGGAGCTGGAGCTATGGCGCCACAGGTAAGTCCCACTGGCCTCCGCCAGCCATCTCTCCCCAACACTACTACTACCACCTACTAGCGCCCAGCGCTGAAGACTACTGCTAGCGCTAAGCCGCTCCTGCAGCGCTCCTCCAGAGTGCTGCGGCCGAATCTTGAAGACTGCCTCCTGCCTTCTGTCCTACTACCTGCCCGTGAAGTGCATGGGAACTCCCTATGTACTACTCGGCCTGCCTCCTGACTGCCTGCAGCTTGCAGGGCGAGGCAGTCCAGGAGGCTGCTCTTGCCAATGCCAGGGCAAGCCAGGGGCTGGCGCTGCAGCTCCTGCTGAGGCTGGCGTGGGGAACAGCCCAAAAATAGCCTGTTCCCAAAACCCTGGTTTGTTGCCTGAGTTCTAGGGCAGGACGATCTTATGAGGGCCCAAAAGTGGCCCTCCATTTCAGGCTGAAAAGCCCTGTTTTAGGCTGAAAACGAAATAGGGCCTGCAGGCCCTCGTTTTCAGTCTTTCAGGCTGTAACGACAAGGGGCCTGTAAGCCCTTATTTCTAGGCTTTTAGGCTGAGAATGCGGGACGGCCCTGCAGGCCCATGTGGCTACGCAGTATGCCACATCCCCCCCCTCCTTGAAAGACCGAGCTTACCTGCGAGGGCGAAGCTGTCTGTCTGAGGGAGGGACCACAGTCCGGGTGGGAGGGGCAGGTCGTGAAGTTCCCTGAGCTAACCTTTGCCGCTCGTAGTGAGCGTAGATTAGCGGTGCGGATGCTTTCAAATCTGTTCCTGAAATCCACCGAGTGTCGTCGGGATCGCATGCTTTGAATGTAACTTTGTATTGTCAAGGCTTGCTGCCGTACTTGCGATCCGTGATGACGCGGTCAACTTCCTGATGACCATCCATAGAAGGAGGGTCCTGCGATCGTCGGCCCGGGAAGTCGTCGCTCTTAGCTGGTGTGTATGTCGCCAGCTTCGAGGCGTGAAAGACTGGATGGACCGTCAGATGCGGGGGGATGTTGATCACAAATGAAGGGCCATCGGGCTCATCGCCCGCGGCTGATGTTACGGGCCATGGNGATGGACCGTCAGATGCGGGGGGATGTTGATCACAAATGAAGGGCCATCGGGCTCATCGCCCGCGGCTGATGTTACGGGCCATGGTCCAAACCACTTGGGAAGCAGTTTGCGTGAAACATCCTGTTCCAGTGCAAACTCTTCCGCGGAGACCCAAACCAGATCACCGGCGCGGATGGGACATGGCACGCGACGCCTGTTGGCTTGCTGCTGCATGCAAACTTGAGCCTTTTGCATGTTCGCGCGGGCTTGAGCCAGCAATTCCTTGTACTTCGGGACGGAAGCGGGAGAGCAAGCGGCGTCGATGTCGGCTGGTCGTGGGAGGAGCAGAACGGCGAAGATACGGCCTTTCCGTCCACCGTGGTGCAACTCAAATGGAGTCACGCCGATCGCCGGGTGCACCGAAGTGTTGTAGGCGAACTCGATGTCGAGGAGGCGGTCAACCCAATCTTTCTGATCCGGACTGATGAGCGTACGAAGCATCACTTGAGCGGTTTGATGTGCCCGCTCCGTTTGTCCGTCCGTCTGTGGATGCCGAGCTGAACTTGGTTTCATCTTCGTGTCGGACACCTGCATGAGAGCAGTCCAAAATGTCGACATGAAATGAGTGTCGCGGTCGCTGACTATGTCTTCCGGTACACCGTGGCCGCAAATCCAGCCGGTGTGCAAGAGGCGTGCCAGTTCGGGAGCCGTGGAGTAGTACTTGCAAGGGAGAAAACGCGCGTACTTACTCAACCGATCCACGACCGTGAGGATGCCATCGTGCCCGAGCCGGTCGCGGGGGAACGGACCGGTGACGTCCATGGCAATGGAGAGACCGGGTTCCTGTGGGATAGGCATCGGGCGCAACTTGCCATAGGGATTGCAGTTGCGGGGCTTGCTTCGTTGGCAAACTTCGCAAGAGTCGCAATACCGAGTGACATCGATCGGAATCGTTGTCGAAGCCGTGCAATAGTGCGGTTGACTCCGAAATGGCCGGCGAGTCGCGAATCATGATACTCGCCGAGAAGGCGAGTCCGAAGACGACGGTCGCGTGGGACACATAACAAGTCCTTGCCTCTCGAGTAGAGGAGGAAGTACCCGTCGACAATGTGATAGTGGTTGGCCGGCGGGTGATCCGAAGATAGCTGCGCATACAACGTGGCGAAGTCCGGATCATACTCATAGCCCCGGATGAAGTGTCGTTGGAGTTTCCCGTCGAATGCGAAGGCATGATGTGTCATAGCGCAAAGATCGGGTCTTCGTGAGAGTGCATCTGCTGCGCGATTGGAGAGGTCGGGGAGGTGTTTCGGTGTGAAGTCAAATTGGTCGATGAAATACATCCATTGTCCGATCGTGTTGCTCACCGTATCCTGCGTCTTGTAGTAGGTCAATGGGTTGTTGTCCATGACCCATGTGAACCTACGACGCCCAAGGAGGAAGTGCCGCCATCGCTTGAGAGCCATCACGAACGCGAGCAGCTCCTTTTTCCTTGCATCATCAAACGAATCGATGGGAGACTTTGTGGCTGAAATACTCCACAGGGTGCCAGTTGTCGTTGTCGTGTTGTTCCAAGACTGCACCAATGCCATAGCCGGAAGCATCAGTTGTCACTCTCGTAGGCAGGGTGGGGTCATAGATGCTAAGGACGGGTGCCATGAGCATGACCGTCTTAAGTGCTTGGAATGACCGGCGTGCGTCGTCATCGAATACGAATGGCACCTTTGGCGATTGTAATCTCGTCATAGGTGTGGCAATCCTTGAGTATCCAGTGATGAATCGTTGATAGTAGCCCGCCAATCCCATGAATGAACGAACGTCCATGGTGTTGGTGGGCTCGGGCCATACGCGGATGGCCTCGATCTTGTCCGCAAGCGGACGGATGCCTTGCGGGTGTCACATAATGTCCCAAGTACTCTGGCTCCTGCCGCGCGAATTCGCATTTGTCGCGGTTGGCTTTGTACTTGGCTTGTCGTAGCCGCTCCAAAACGGTGCGCAGGTGTTCCACATGCTCGTCCAAACTCCGACTGTACACCAAAATGTCGTCGAGGTAGATAAGTATGAATCGATCCAACATGTGTTGGAACTCCGTTGTCATAGCCGCTTGGAAAGTGGTTGGGGCATTCGTAAGGCCAAACGACACAACCAGCCATTCGAAATGCCCAGATCGCGTCTTGAACGTGGTCTTGTACCGGTCCTCCTGCCGGATCTCGAGTTGGTGATATCCCGATTTGAGGTCTAGCTTGGAGAAAAACTTGGCGTCGCTCAGCCATTCGAGGAGGTCGTCGATGCGTGGAAGAGGGTCGGCGTTCTTGACCGTTTGCGCGTTGAGCTTGCGATAATCGATGCACAACCGCAAATCCTTGTTCTTCTTCCGGACGAAGAGAACGGGAGCACCGTATGGTGAGGAGCTAGGCCGAATCCAACCTTTCTCAAAAAGGTTGTCGAGTTGTGCCCATAGCACACTCAACTCTTCCTCGCTCATTCGGTAGATGCAACCACATGGAGGTACAGCCCCGTCCTCGAGGATGATCTCGTGGCTGATGGGCCGATCCGGTACTACTCCGTGCGGGCCTTCGAACACGTCGCCGTAGGCATCGAGAAGCTCAGTGATGTGTGGGTTCGAAGATGAGTCCGTCGATGAAGCGTCATGGGGCGGGAGGGCGTGGAGAAAACACACCCCCATCTCCTTGATGTCGTCTCTGACGATGGCAGCTCGCATGCTTGCGGCGGACGCCACGTGGCAGCTGATCGAAGGGTGAGGAGGAGACACCGTGCATGGGACTAGTACTCCGTTCCGATCACGAACGTGAACGGTGCAGCAGTAGAAGTTCACCGGGTGATCCTCCCTTTGCAGCCATGACATGCCCAAGATCATGTCGAATTTGGTGTCCAAAATATCGAAGGACACCGCCTCGCTTGCATGCGGGGCGAAGTACACGGGGACGTCATCAATGCACCGGTCGATTGACTAGTGCGTGTGACCGTCTGCCAACGTGACTTGCGTAGGCTGGGACTTCCTCCGGACGCATGGGCTAAGGCCGGCGCGTACCATAAAGTCCTGGCTCATGTGGTTGCGAGATGCTCCGCAATCGATCAAAGCGTTGCAGGTCGCCTCTCCGATTTGAATGCGTACATATAACAATGGTGCGTCGATGTCGTCGTACCGTTGTGTCCTGAACTCGCGGTCGATCTTCGCAATGTAATTGTGAAGGTCGACAACCTCTACTCTGGCGTCCATCAACGGAGTTGGTACTGCAGTGTGCAAGTAATCCCGCAATTGTGCCATGAGCACGTTGCAATGCGGTTTCGGCAATCGACCGGACCGGGGAAGAGGCATCCATTGGAAGTCCGCAAATGTCAACGGGTCGAGCTCTTCAAGTCTTGACCATGTCTTCGAATACCCAGCTATAGATGGCGGCGAAGCTGCCGATTTGGTTGCCGATCGTAGTGAAACCGTGCATGCGGTGGATTGTTGCACGTGGAGCGGTTGGTCCAACGGTGGGACCAAGTGGACAACATAGTCCTCGTAAGCATACCCAGAACTTACGACATTCGCGTCCTCCCCAGATGTGTAGGAGGCCGCTAGCAAGGCGGCCGAATCTGGCGGAGTGAGAGGTGGAGTCGCCTCACCTCCCGCGCAACTCAGTTTCCCGAGTTGATGCGAGGCTGAACATCCTCCTTGCCTTGATGCGGACATTGGGAGGTCTTGTGCTTGGTGCTGTTGCACCAATAGCAGCAGCCGTAGTGGCCGCGCCACTTGTATTCCGCATCGGTCAAGTGAAACTTGACCCATGGTGCTGGCTCTCCGTTTCCGGCCGGCGATGCGGTTTTCGCCTTCCCATTTCCTCGTGACTTGTTGTTGCTTCGCGGCTGGACAGCAGCCACCTGATCTACCTCACGTGACGCTTGGGTGGCTGCCGGGTCTTCCACAATGTTGTTCGATTGGACTGCAGCGACATGCTGCGGCCGTGGACCAGTTTTCACCTTCTCCACATAGGTTGGCTGCCATGCTGATTTCTCATGTGCAGCTGCCCTATTGGTCTTGATGATCTCCCTTGCCTTGTCGATGATTTCAGTGAAGGTTGCGTATTGCTCGCGATCACCAAGTGCAAGGCTCAAGGCGCCACATGACCGGTTGTAGAACTCTCGGCGCAGATGCGAAAATGGCAATTCTAGATCAGGCGTTGCCGCGATCTTTTGTCATTCCGTGAGCCAGTCGCGTGTTGCTGTGTTGCCTTGCGTCATAGCGAAGAGGCGGTTGATGGCGAGCGTCAGGGCGTCGTCCATTGCGGCGATCTTCAACTTCATTTCCCAACCCCAGCTATGGCTGGGCTTCAAAGAAGAAGATGACCTCGCCCAAAATAGAGCAGCAGCGCTCCAGCAACGAACGGGCAGAGTTTCCCCAGCCAACAAAATGTGAAAAGACCCAAACCAAATTTCCTGCCCGCTACTTCTACCCTCTGCCTAGACCTACGACGGACTCGAAAGGCAACAACCCAATACTCATCTGCATCTAGATGGAAAGATGGAGAAAAGGGGACCTAGACCTATGACAAGGCAAAAGGAAAAGGTAGAATGGCCTAAGACTACCAAACAGAGACTAGTAGTGACAGACTTAGGGATCAAGTCCCATAGGGCTTAAAAGTTAAAACTAACAAACAAAACATACAAATTACAGGTCAAGGGATCAAGTCCCGCCAGCCTCAAAACAAGAAAACAAACTACCCAACCAAACACTTAGTGTACAGGCCCACTGGGAAACTGCAATTTATTGCACTCTCACTTCATTCATTCATTCATTAATTGAATTTCATTCATACGTTAAATTATGGCCTCTGTTGTAAGTTTATATTTTTACTTTCAATTATGTTCCAAAATGTTCAAAAATTATAAGAATGTAACTGAATGTTCAACTTTAGCGAAAACACTTTTGTTCATTCATTTAATTCATTCTCTCATTTTATTCATCCTATCACTTCATTCATTCATGCATTGAATTTCATTCATTCGGCCATTCAGTCTTTCCCTGATCCAACTTCAGTGAAAGTGCTGTTATTCATTCATTCATTCATGCTTCGTTTCTTTGTTTGTGCGTTTGTCTGCTCATCCTAAAATATTTCTTTTCTAAGGTAATATAAAAAAAAAGGGGGCGGAGGCAGAACCAGGAAAGGGGGGATCAGGCCTAAACTTGCTCAGGAATCATGCTAGGTGCATGACATATCCACTGCCGCTTCAGCCTAGGAGACAACTCAGAGATGGCAGCAAGTTTGTCTTGTCTTACCTTTCTCCAGGCTGTCACTAGATGAATCGTTAATATTCTGTTTGAAATTTGAAATGTAATGACCCGCGGAAACACAGACTGAGAACACGGCTGATTTCTGAGTTCTGCCGCTGGAATGGATGCCTTGCTGAGATTCCCGCATTCTGCTGAGTTTTCTAAGTCTGTGTATGTGTGTGCGAGCTTGATGGTCTGCATGCCTGTCTGAGTGCTTGTCGGCCTGAGTATGTGTGTGACCCGCAAGGGTACTTGCTTGCTTGGGAGGCCCTGTAGGGTCGGTACTTACCTGTGGCTGTGACATTGAGGGTTGCCGCGGGAAAGGCATTCAAGTAGCAGGGGTAGGCCTGCGACACTTAGAGCAGCGGGAAAAACACTCAAGTAGCAGGTAGGCCGGTACCACTCAAGTAGTGGTAGAAGTGTCGGGTACTCGAGGCCGAGTAGAAGAAGACAAGAAGTTGGCACTTTTAGAGGCCCAGTAGTGGTAGGCTAGAGGTAGGCTGGTACCAGTCCCAGTCCAAGTAGCCTGTCTGACACATATAGCGGCCGGGAAGTCACTGCCCAAGAGGCAAGTAGGCCGCTATATCTCCAGGAGTGAGTAGCTCCTTCTCATTTGCGGTATGCAAGTTTGGACGTCGTGCTGCTTGAGCAAGCACCAGCCTTCAGAGCGCTTGAGCAAGGAGGAGCGCTGGGCAGAGCAGCGCTCGGAGGAAGGAGGCCAGGAGCTTCCACCGCGGCTATGGTGGAGCTCTACCGGTAAGACTAGGAAGGAGAGGGAGACTAGGAGGGAGAGATGCGAGGTGCCTACCTGGCTATGGTGGCCACCATCTTCATCACCTTGTTAGGCGCTGCATCAGGAAGGCCCCAGTGGGGTTGCGCCGCACCAAGAAGCTCCGAGGCAGAGTCAGGCATGGCGGCCTGAGTACCAGCGGGCATAGCTGCTTTGTGTTGTCCTTTGGACAGCAGGGCAAGGCCCTGGTAGTCCACCATAGCCTTGGTGTGGCAGACTGCGTAGCCACACGGGCCCTGTAGGACCCGTCCCGGACATTCAGCCTTAAAGCCTAAAACTTAGGAGCTACAGGCCCCGGTCGTTTCAGCCTGAAAACTGAAAAACGAGGGCCTGCAGGCCCTACTCCGTTTCAGCCTATTTCTGGGTCTTTCAGACCCAGAGTTTTTCCAGCCTGAAACGGAGGGCTCTTCTTAGGCCCTGGGTTATTTTTAGGCCCTCATTTGTTTCGACCTGCCCTAAGATTCAGGCACGAAAACTGGGTTTCGGAACAGGCTATTTCTGG